GCAGTCACAGAGCTTCACAGTGGGGGCGAGGAAGTAGGTCTGAAAGTATCGGGTGTGGCCTGGAGTTCTGGAGACACTCACAACCTTTGGTCCTACCAGCCCGTTGATCAGCGAGGACTTTCCCACATTGGGGAAACCTACACAGCCGATGGTCACCACTCCATCCTTGTAACGCTCCCGGGTTAGACCAGCCGGTTCCATCGCTGTATCAGTCTGCTGTTCCACCAGGACTGCTGGCCCATTATCCTCCTCCTCCTGTTCCCCAGAGTCATTACCCCAGGTAGCTCCAGCCGCATCTCGAGCAATCTTCTCCCGCCAACTGTTCAAGTCTACTTTCCCTGCAATGATAGCTTCACAGCCTTTCAGTAACTGCTCTGGTCCCAGGGCCGGAGTCCACCCTCTACCTCGCTTCCGACTCTTCTTCAAAACGCTGCTAGGGTCCTGCGAGGAGTGAGGATCTCGAGGGAAAGAGGTAAAAAGGACAATGTGAAGCTGGGGGTAGTGTTGGTGGAAATAGTGCTTCCAGGCAACCATGAGAGCTGGTGGGGCCAAGTCCACTTTGTTTAGGACCAGCACCAGAGCCAGCCCAAGCTCTCCAATCACATACTCATAAAGTGCTGGCGGAAAATTCACAACTGGATGTCGGTATGCTTGTTTTTTTGGCACTTCATGGGATATCCAGTACTATTTTTCAATATCACAACTCAAAGAAATTAATTTTCCCTCTGTCATCTTTATTAACTGTCCTGTTCTCAGATGCATAGAAAGTAATTTTAAAAGTCCGTGGCCTAAATAAGGCACACCTTAGTCTTTAATCATGCATGTGTTAAAAGCCATTAAATCAGCATAAATATCACAGCTGAATTTCATTAAAAGGATCAGAAAATGCTATGCCTATTAATAACTTATGTAGCTATTCAAACAAATGTAAAGCAATAAGGACAATTAAATCTTCTTTAGGGAGCAAATATTTTGCTTAAGGGATAGAAAATAAAATATACCTTTATTCTTTGCCCTAAGGATAACACTAGAAAAACTGACGAGTTCTATTAATAAAGTAGTAGATATGATTCATCTGCTGTTCTCTGAAACATCAGAGTTTTGGACTAGGCAGAATTAATTGCTTCATATCTGATATTGGATAATAACTCATTTATAATATCATAGAAATAAGCACAGTTTTAATTTTACGTTAGTTTTTTGTTTACTAACTATGGATGGGGAAAATAATGATATCTCACAAATACACTAGGGATTATATATATCAAGTGTCTACCAGGAATTGCTTCTAATAATTTTGCCCTCAAAATTGATTTCAGTGATGTGAGAACCCAGAAAAAAATTTACTTTTATTTTCAATGGTTCCCACACCAGATTGAATCCGAATTATCAAGAGACTCTTGCAGGCAACAGAAAGAAACGTGTAAGTATTAGAATGATGAGTCTAAAATGCCAAATTACTTTAAAGAAAAAATAATCTTCATTGTAATTCATAGAAAGCAATGCTACTTTTAATCCTTTGGGAGAAAATATATTTTAATATTTACAGCAACTATCTAAGTGGACATTATAAAAAATTCAAATGTAATGCTTGAAAAAACACAATCATTTCTAATTTTAAATATAAACGTATTTGCAAATTTATCAATCTGATTACTTTAGTGTGTTAGTAGTAGTGAGTTTTAATAGTTTGAAGAACTCTAATTCCATTCTCAATTTCATCTGTGAGTATGTTTTTAATTTTAATAACTTCCTAAAATTTAATTTTATTTCTCTCTGTCCTCATTTTTTCCTTGCCTGGGCCTCTGGGGTATGCCAATTTGCATAGCTGAATTAATGCACCAAATAATGTTTGAAAGTCTAATCTTATTAAATGCCTTAAAATTCAACACTTCCATGACTGGTTAGACCTTATTAATTAACCCATATGCTATCAAAACCTCCTGTTCACTGCCTACTTGGGCTGTCTCATGGGGTCAAATGGGCCAAATGGGTCTCTTGAAAAAAACCTCGTACTGAGACAGAGCTAGTGATGTGAAGTTAGACGCCCAACACAGCTCTTTTTCTACCAACATGAGAGTTCACGCATTATAGAATTTACCGAATAACTAGGTGCTAGAGGATTGACAGTTTTTGAGCTGAGGAGCTTTAATATATAAGATTTTGTCACAAACCAGTCTGCAAAGGAGTATGAAATGATTTATATGCAATTTATGCTACAATGGTATGAATGGTAACAGAAACACTTTAATGGATAGTAAAGGCCCTAAGGAAAGAGTAAGGAAAATAAATATAATATTTAACTTTAATAATAACATATCTTGATCTCATATTTTTAAGTAGTATAGCACTAGTCTGTCCATTTGCTGTACAGAGGTAACTCGTGGTTGCTGTGATGCTGAACACTGTGACACTGACGCATCAAATTTTATAATGGTTACCCGTGATGGACAGGGTTTGGTGGAGATCCTCGATTAAAACAAGCTTGGAAGCAGAAGTGGCATCTACTTCCGAAATAGCTTGCCTCTGGAAACTCCATGAAAGTGGAGAAATGATAAAAGTTACACAATTGTTCAGGTCTTTCATTCATAGGGTCTCTATGAGTCGTCTACAATTTGATGGCACTTAGCAACAAGAACAATAACATATCTTAGTAGGAACATCAATCTGTCCAATGAATGCACAGATACTAGTGCCATTAGAGGGAGCTCTGGTAGGGTAGTCCATGGTGAGTTGTGTTGCTAACCAAAAGGCCTGCATCTTCAGCTGTTTTAGTCCACTAATATCTCCTTAGGAAAAAAAGATGAACTCTCTCTTCCTATTACAATTTACAGTCTCACAAACATGAAGGGTCACTATGAATAAGAACCAATAAAATGCTCTAACGATCTTTTTCGGGTTGTTTGTTTGTTGTTTTTTTGGTTTTGATTGTTCATCCGCTAAACATGGGAAAATATCTACTCTGAACCACATGGGGTCCCTGTGAGTTAGAATTAATTCCATAGCATCTCCTTTGGCTTGGATCTGTGTTATCTCAGGGTGAGGAACAGCAAATGGACCAACGTCACAGTTTTTCTAAGAGTTATACAGAAAAGGATTATAAAGGGGCTCTTGTACAGTAAAACCTCAAGATAAAAAATATGACAAATTTCCTGCAAGGAGAGGAAGGCTAGTTTTCACTATTAGCCTTAAACTTTTTGTTGCAAGTCTTCCTATCTAAGAAACTATAAGGGAGAATTTGGAACATGCTCATTTGTCTACATATTTTTAATAATTAGGAATTCAAGCCTTTCTATTGTTGTTCATTACCAGGATAGGAATAATAACGTATGATTGCTGTTGTGTGCTGTCAAGTACGATCCATAGCAACCCTGTGAACAAAAGATCTGAAATCTGTCCTATCCTGAACCATCCTCACCATCTCTGACATGCTTGATCCCATTACTATAGACATTGTGTCAAATCTATCTCATTGAGGGTCTCCTTCTCCTTTTCAAGTTTGATATATTCCTCCAAGGAATATCACCTCCTAACAACATGCCCAAAATATGTGAGGTGAAGCTTCACCATCCATGCCTCTAAGGAATACTATTATTGTTGTTGTTGTTGCTGCTGCTGCTGCTGCAACTGACCCATAGCTGACCTTCCAGAGGGCTGCTTTTTTGTCTTTTTACTTTTTTTATTAATTTTAATAAACATTTACAGAGGTTTTGGATTTCCATTCATTCATTGCCTCACTTTTCTCCCTGCCCACCCCTCCCCACCAGTTCGCTCCCCTCTCTGAAAAGAAAAAGAAAAAACAATTCTTTCATTAGTATACAATTCCTCCAGAGGGTTTTCAGAGGCAGTTAATCGCATGGGAGGAGATTATCATCCTTCTCCCATTAAGCAGCTAGAAGTCTTCAACTGTGTGCCTTCTGGATTGCAGAGCAATTTTTTGCCACTAGGCCACTTTTTCCAAAACATATCTTTTTGTTCTTTTGGCAATCTATGGTATATTCAGTGCCCTTCTCCAAAACCACAGCTAAAAGGAATCTATTTTGTTATGTCATCCTTATTCATTGTAGCAAGTGATTGGAATGATCATGAATTAACATAGGTGACATCATTAGTCTTCAGGACTTTGTAGAGATTCCTAACAGCAGACTTTCCTAAAGTTATGTGTCTCCTGATCTCCTGATTGCTGATACTAAAGGTATGGATTGTGGATTCAAACACCATTAAATCATTGACAATTTCACTCTTTTCTCCATCTATCATGTTGCGTATCAGTCCATGGGTGGGTATTTTTGTTTTCATGAGGTTGAGATGTAATCCATATTGAAGGCTAATCCTTGGTCTTTTGCAGCAAGTATCACAAGTCCTCTTCACTTTCAATGAGCAAGTTTGTGTCATCTACAGGTTGTTTATAAGTCTTCCTCTAATACTGAAACTACATACTTCTTCATTAAAATCCAGCTCTTCAAATGATTTGCTCAGTGTAAAAATTGAATAGGTATGGAGAAAAGATACAGCCCTGACATATATCTTTCTTGGTATTTTAAACCATGCAACATACCCTTGCTCTATTTGAACAACAACTTTTGTGTCTAGGTATAGATTATATATAAGCATAATTAAGTGTTCTGTATTTCAATTCTATTTAGTGTTAGTCATAGTTTTTTATACTCCACACAGACAAATACCTTTCTATATAAAATACAAATAAATTTTCTTCTGGCATTGTCTGCTCTTAGTCAAGATCCATTTGGCATTAACAATGACATCTGTAGTATCACATTCTTGCTGTTATGGTTCATCGAGTCACTCATAGAGACCCTATGTACAATAGCTCTGAACTCTGCTCTATTCTGAGCCAATCTTACTACCTCCAACACACTTACCCTCATTACTCCAGTTACTATATCAATCCATCTCAGCTGGGATCTTCCTCTCCTGCGATGTTCCTCTACTCTTCCAAGCATGATGTCCTTCTACAGACTAGTTTCTTCTGGGAACATGCCCACGGTATATGAGACAAAGCTTCAAAGTTCTTGCCTCCAAGGAGCAGCTTGGTTTCACTATTTCCAGGAAAGACCTGTTTGTGCTCTTGGCAGTCCATGGTGTATAGTCAGTGCTATTCTTCAATACAAAAGCTCAAAAACATTAATTCTTCTTCTGTCATCTTTGATCATTATCTTGCTCTCTGATGCATAACAAGTAATTTTAAAGACCATGGCCTGGATTGGGTACACCTTAGTCTCTAGACTGACACTGTTTCTCTTCAGCATTCTGGATAAGACCTTGACAACAGATACTCTTTTGATTTCCTGACTGCTTGTGCCAACAGTGTTGTTTGTGGGGCTGAGCAAGGTGAAACTGTCAGTTGGCCCAAAGGTGAGAATCTTCATTTTTTTGATGTTGATCTTCGATTCTATTGCAGACTACAATTCTTGACTTTCTGCAGCAAATGCCTCAGACCCTCCTCAGTTTCAGCAAGCAAGGTTGTATCATCTGCATAAAGAGTCTTCCTCCAATTCTGATGCCAAATTCCTCCTCATAAAGTCCAGCCTCCTCAATGATCTGTTCTGCATATATATTAAAAAGTTACACAGAGACAGGATATATCTCTGAAGCACTATTTTCCTGATTCTGAAACATATAGTGTTTCCTTGCTTTCGTGAAACATCTTCTGTTGAAGAGACAATAATGATGAAAAGGAGGAAGTTCAAGCTGCTTGAAAGGAATTAGGAAAAAAAAAATTTCAGGAACTGATGGAATACCAACTGACACATCAACAACAGATGGAGCCCTGGATGTGCTCACCAAGTTGTGCCAACAAATTTGTTCTATAAAAGGATAGTTTAAAATGTTATCTCTAAACCTAAAAATGTTGCTGTTATTTTATTGTTATGGTTATTGCAAAAAAATGCAACTATATTTCACTGTTATTGTGTGCCATTGAGTCAGAACTGACCCATAGCTGAGCCTCCGGCTGATTTTCAGAAGCAGTTAATTGCAGGGGAGGAGAGTACTGATCCTTCTCCCATGGAGCAGCTGGTGAATTTGAAACGTGTGTCGTTGGGATTGCAGCACAATTTCTTACCTCTAGGCCACCAGAGCACCAACACCTCCCTAGCAAATTAAAATTCTTAGTGAGTGGATATTTTTAGGAAATTTCAAAAGGAAAATTCTGCTTTAAATTACTTTCTTAAATGCAACCTTTTCTTGAAATTTAATAATAAGTTTCTCATGAAGTTAGTAAAACAAAAAATATCCAGAATTTAGGGAGTTGTTATTAGTAGATACCCTAGAGTAGGTTTTCTGGAGAAACAAAGCTAATGGATCAATATATATTCACATGCTGTTATGTACAGTCTAGATGAGCTTGATCAAAACAGTCCAGCCTGTGCCCTTAGCACAATCATCACTGTGCTTACGCTCACTGTTGCAGTTATTATATGTCAATCCAACTCCTTCGAGGGCTTTCTCAATCTCATTCACCCTCTAGTTTTCCAAGCATGATTTCCGTGTCAGTGATTGCCTCCTACTAACAACATTCTCAACATATTAAAAAAAATTTCCCCATCAGTACCTCTAAGGAAAATTATGTCTAGACTTCTTCTAATACCTATTTGTGTGTTCTTTTTACAGTCCATGTTCACTTCTAATGTAATCTTAAATGTTTCTGTTGTTGTGTATTGTTGAGTTGGAAACAACCCATATCTAACCTTCCAATGAGTTTTTAGAGGCAGTAAATTGCATTGGGAAAGATTACCTTTCTTCTCCTATAGCAGTTGGTGGATTTGAACTATGTACTTTGCTTTGGCAGCACAATTCCTTACCGCTATACAATTATAAAATCACACCTGCTGGTGCAACCACTGTGGAAGGTGGTATGGTGCTTTCTCAAAAAGTTACAAATAGAGATACCATT